TTACAGTAATTATTCTTTTTTTTTTTTTTCAAAACTTTGGTGACATTTGCCCCATAACTGCCAAAACGTATTTCTGACTTACTTTAAATTTACGGAGTGGCTTTGTTTGGTAAAGAGGCAGGTTGCTTTCGAAAAGCATGATGGGTTTAGTTTTTATGAAAATTTCATTTTTCGCGCATTTGCATTTTCAGTGGCTTTTATATCCTATGGAACTGAATCACTTGCTAGTTTTTTAATGCCCATATTACCTGTTCGTCATAATGTAAGAGGGTAAGAGTGATGATGCCGATTATGCAGTCTATCAAAATTGGCAAAAACATTATTTTGTGCAGTTGTTTCTGCATTATGCAGTCTATCAAAATTGGCAAAAACATTATTTTGTGCAGTTGTTTCTGCATTATGTCTGAATATTTGACAGCTTTGCTTCCTGTACGGTGTCTGTATATTTGTCAGCTTTGCTGTCCAGTTTTTATGTACAGCATGATAGTTTGGAACAAATTCTTTTGGCCTCCTGGACTTGATTTTTCTTCAGTTTCCTCAACATGGTTAAATTCCATTTTGATGGTTTTTGGTTTTTGCTATAACGACCCAAATCCCCCTATGAAATCTTTAATTTTAAATCAAAGCAAAAAATGAGAAGGTACAAAGATGCTGTCGCAAACCACTCTCTGTCAAAGAATGAACCCTCCATAATCTGTTTTCGGATTGATCACTAGTTTCTTAACTTTTATTTTCGAAAAAAAAAAAATAGTTCAACCAAATAAGTTATTTTTGAATTAAACATCTTGTCCCTGACTTTAAAATCCACATAGTCCTAAACATGCAGTAAATAAAGTCACAATTTTAATCAAATCGTGGAGTAGCCAATTTGCAGACAACTTATTTATTTATTTATTTATTTATTTATTTATTTATTTATTTATTTTTTTTTTTTTTGCCGTCAAAAGTTGACATCCAAATCTTGCTAACATTATCATTTTTGAGTTAATTGAACATGTTTTAGTTTTTTTACCATGTATTTTTGTTTCTTGCACGTTTCCAATATTTTCTTTAGTCTGTGCAATTAAACAGTTTTCCTAACATCTAGCTTTCCGAAAATCCGGTCAGAATAAAAATTACAATAAGATTGGACAGTCCCCCCCCCCCCCATCGCATTAATATTATTAATATGTAACAGTTACATTTCACAAAGACATTATCAAATTAAAAGTGCTTTTGAAAACTTTTAAGTTTTAAAAAACTTTTAACTTTTAAAAAATACCTAATGCCCACCCCGGCCACAATTTCTGCAAAAATATTCTGTAAAATGATCTGGTTCAAACAAAATGTTGGAACACTAGGCCAAGTGTAGGACCAGCAGCTAATGTGACAGGCTGTTACTTTGTCATTTTCATAATTCACACATTTTACTACTTTTGTACATGAACTTTACTGATGACTTTGTTTTGCGTTTATGTTCTTTTTGTTAAACATGTTCTGCAAATTTGATATGTGATATTTGTGCTTTCAAAATGTATCATTGTGACATTGTTTATTGTAAACTATGTATGTGTTTGAAAGATTTGAAAATAAACTAGTATATTAATTGCTTTGTTTTAATGAATGATATATAATACAAAATTATGGTAACCTTTCACCTTAATAAAAAATGTTGCACACTTAAACCCTCTCAAACTGTCAATCCTCAAACATGGGAATCTTTCAAACTAAAGACTTGCCCACCTATCTCCCCTTTTATTTAAATTGGACTCATCCGACACCCCCAAAAATGGGCTCTTCCAACCTATCACCCCTCAAGTTGAATGGACTCCCCCAACCTGACACCCCTCAAGTTGAATGGACTCCCCCAACCTGACACCCCTCAAATAAGAATGGACTCATCCAACCTGACACCCCTCAAGTTGAATGGACTCATCCAACCTGACACCCCTCAAGTTGAATGGACTCTCCCAACCTTACACCCCTCAAGTTGAATGGACTTGTCCAACCTGACACCCCTCAAGTTGAATGGACTCGTCCAACCTGTCACCCCTCAAGTCGAATGGACTCTCCCAACCTGACACCCCTCAAATTAGAATAGACTCTCCCAACCTGACACCCCTCAAATTAGAATAGACTCTCCCAACCTGACGCCCCTCAAAATGGAATGGACTCCTTAAATATGGAATTAACCGTCATTCCTCAAATTAGTATTCCATTACCTTTAATCACAATTTACGCTTTAAAAAATTCAATTGTATAATTAAATGACATTGAAATATGTATGCATTTTTTGAACCACTATGGTCTATGGAATTGGTAGACGGGATTAATATGAAAATCTAAATTCTGAACGTAAATAACTGAACGAAAAATCTAAAATTATTGGCAGTTCCAAAATTTTCTATTCATTTTTCATGATTAGATAGATTGGTCTACATGTGAAAATTTGAACTTGTAAAATTAAGAAAAAATTTTTGGGCACCATTTTAGTTCTGGATATAAGAATCAAAAGAATGCATTTCATACCAAGTACATTGTAGGTTCTGAACGTTCGGCGCGTATCAATTTAACTTTAACCTCTGGGTCTTTTAGATAAGAAAGAAAACTCCAGTGGATAGCTCATTTATTCGGTCAAAACTGTCGTACACAAGTGTCAGATAAGTAATACAAATAATGACAAACAACAAAATTGGCTTCTCCAGTGTAAATAATAATAACAAATATTGCAGAAGTTGATTGATTAGATAATTTTACTCTTGTCTCAACTAACGTTAACGGAAAAAATTGCACTTTTCCTTTCAAGTTTGAAATTTGAGATTTACAAACACTGATAATTACGTGTCACTTTAAGTAATTTAATAGTTACACTATTATTTGAGAAAATTGGAGCTAAACTAAATGGCTTTCAAATATAATTAGATACATCTGAGCTTGTCCCAAGGTATAACTTGAAACGGATCATAATCAATACCTACTTTATAGTTTTTAAAAGGTGCGATATTGATCTTTGTATATATATATAAATATATGTAGGACTAAACACTGGAAATCACAATAGCAGTATCCGCAATTTTCACCATGTAGATTGTGTGTATGTGTGTTTGCCTCTCTCTGGCTCCTAAATATGGACGGAAGGTAAGCTTCTATCAGTCGCATCGGCCTAGGAAGGGGCAGTTCTGAAAAATGAAAATAACACTCATGACAAAATGCATTGAAATTTTAACTAAGATCTGCTAAACTGAAAATGGAAAGACTTGTTCTAGTGTTGAAATGGCATTTAAGCTGGATGAACACCAGTAAATAAAGAAAAAAATGCAAAAAGTTTGTAGTTGAAGATGTGCGATTCTTCGATATTTCATAACATTTCTTGAATGTTGTAGTACACCAGCTATAAAAAGAACGACCAGGGATATACAGTCCAATACCATTAAAAGGCGTTTTCAAAGTAAATGTTCAAGCAAATGTAGCAATGCCAGCAAGGGACAGATTAAGTACCGATTAAGGCAATTGTCTAGGAAGCATATAATCTGACGCGGACAGCAAATCTTACTTGATGAATAGTACAACAACCGTTGTATATACTTTGTGCGAAAAACTATTAAGTTACTACAAAAACCAAACAAAAAAACATGGATATCAAGAATTTTGCATAATATTGAAAATCTTGTTTAAATTTTCCGCTGCTAATCTGCTTCAGTTGCAAACGAATTTTTTCTAGAAATTAAACGAAATACAAAAAGTTGATAATATTTGAGAAGTTTCACATTGTTACATCAAGCACAAATACTAAAGAAGTGTTTTTAAAATATGTAACAAATTTGTTCAGGCAGCAAATTTACGTACAGTGAGTCGGTGGCATTAAAGTGACAGTAAGGGAGCACCAAGAGTTATGTCAAAAATAACGTACATCTTATCTAAAATATAGCAAACCACCAAGATACATCGTTACTTTAGAATGTGTGGAAATAGAAAGATATATTTCGTGGTAATTAGAACTCATAGAAACATGAAACACATGAACGATACTTTCTTGTTGCAAAGAGCATCATAAGTATACGACTAAGGGTATTTTCAACAGTATTTCGAATTGAAAGTTTCTTGCAAATCTCGCCATATCAAATTCAAATCACAACAGAAGTAATGCATGTAGAACTATTTTGAGAAAAGCCGTACATACCGCATAATCGAATTATGCACATAAGACGTAACTCCTTATAAATTTCATTGTGTAGAATAAATGTTACTCACAGGACGTAGACTACTCGTTTTTGTTTCCACGCTGAATGAAACGTTCGGCTCCCCGACTTCACCACACCTATCCTGCGTCTTCTTCTTACAGGAATGTCATTCACAAGACATATTTGGTTCAACGCTAAATGAAATCTTTGGCTCTCCGACTTCACCACACCTATCCTGCGTCCTCTCCTAACAAGATCCAGCAGTCAAGTGACTGCACTGAGCGGCTTATTATTATGTAAATGACAACAGGTATGGCGCATTTTGATTGAGGGGTAACGGTAGACCTCATTCTCACAAGAAAGGCGAACTCTTGTGGGTCAATTGAGAAAAATACTTCTTGTGAGCTCTAGAATGATCGAGATTATTTGATTTATCATTTATAAATGTCTTAAATCCTTCATAGTAGAATGTGACAAGAACTAAAAGATCGGCGTGCACCTTCAACGCTGGGAGATAATTGGCTTAGAGACATGTACCTCGCTCACCTGTCTATTGTCCCAATAATGCAATGGTTGGGCTCATTTTGAATAGGGTGATATATAGAAATGCTCACCACTTTCATATTTTGAGATACTGGATGTAGGCCTATACAGAGCAGAGAATTTGTGCAAGTTGTCATTTGTGCTCCCTGAGCTTCAGATATTGGCAAATCAAATTGCTTTGAGCTAATTAAAATACGATGGTCTGGTTTGCGTTTCATTCTCCTACAGTGTATTTCTCGTTATTTGCGTTTGGCGCTTATGTGATTTATTGCAAGTGATCACAAGTTGCATTCGAAGACGTTTTTTTTTTTTTTTTTTTTTTTTTTTTTTGTACCATTTNTGCTTTGAGCTAATTAAAATACGATGGTCTGGTTTGCTTTTCATTCTCCTACAGTGTATTTCTCGTTATTTGCGTTTGGCGCTTATGTGATTTATTGCAAGTGATCACAAGTTGCATTCGAAGACGTTTTTTGTTTTTTTTTGTACCATTTCACATTACGTTCTGCTGTATTATTTTGGTTTGTTCGCATTTCATTCGACCGTTTTACGTTTTTTTTCGGCGACCGTATTTTAAGACAGGTTAGAGTATTTGCCAATAGAGGGCGTCGTGTGATAAGCCAGTTATTTTTTCATTATCATTTGGTGCGCTGTATTACCACTCACAACATGACAAAGTAGACGCATCTGCTTTATGGAAAAATTAAACTTTACAAAATGGATATACCTTGTGCAAGTAAAGAGCAAGTACGCGCGTTTCTTTGCTTTTAATCCATTATACAATTTTTAAAGTCTATAATTGTTGTTCAAGTGGAACTTTACTAACATCAGTCTAGCAACTTAATCACTAAAAATAATTACAAAATTTATCTGTTCTCACACACACACACAAAAAAAAAGACGAAAACGGTCTAAAGCTTAGATCTTCGTTATGTGGAAAAATAAACTTGAGGTTGAGGACAAAATGTGTCAGTAAAATAAATTCACATCTCGTAATACCCTTCATTTTTGTTAGTATTAATGATGCATGAATGTTATTCAAGGTTATTCTTAAAAATTTCTTTACTAAAACCTTAGTACTGAATACGAAAATTCCCTATACCTGCAAGGCATGCATTTTAATTTTTCCGAGACTTACACAGAAAGCTATATTAATCATTTTATGCCACGAGATATTGATAAAAAGTAGAATTCGCGGATATATCTTTAACTTCATTTTTCACTTTTCTTCAAGTGGACCTATATCTTGAAAATAAGTGCATGAATTTAAATTCCCTGTTATCGTAAGGAGTTACAAAAGCAGTCTACACAGATCGAAAAAAGGCAAGACACACATGACCGCCAAATGAAATTTGATCACGTGTCCACTTTATGAGAATATCAATATTAACGAGCTGGCCTGTCGCCGAATATCACTTGATCACCAGCAATGGCTTTGTCCCATGTAAATTCCCCGGGGCAAATTAATATTCAATAAAGAAGCATAATTTTTCTCGCGGACGCTGTACATAAATGTTGTCTACGTCCCTCTACACCCCCCACTCTCTCTTGTACATACGCATACCCGAGACATACACACGCACGCATACACACATTTTCTCTCTTTATATATCTAAAAAAAACAAACATATTCATGTATTTATTTTAACCATTTCCACTTGACAAAAGACAATTATACCAGACTGGCACTTTAATAAAAAAAACCATCATTGGTCGCTTCTAAATTACCAAAATATACATTGTAAAATGTCGATTATCGTTGCACATCTAACGAAGACAAAATATCTCTTCCAAGCTATAGACTTTTTATTATTATTACTTTATCATATTATGAATATTATTTGTATTTTTTTTTTTTTTTTTGTATTCCGTAGTCTAGGGTCTTAGAGCACTAGTCAACCTAAATCGATTTCTTTCTTGATGTTGATCACACAAATAGAAGGGTGAATGGATGATATAAATACTCACTTAAATTAATTTTAAGTACATAAGTAACATTATCATTGAAAAGTACCTGTCATTTCATGCATAAAAGTAACGTTAGCAATTTAAAGTAATTTACCAAAAGCAGTAACATCAGCAATTAATATTGATGTACCAATGATGGTGATCTTAGTACAGTGATAATTGAACAGCAAAACATTTTTCTAAGTGTCCATGTTTTTCCTTGCTTTTTTCTATCTCTCAAACATGTGCAAAGGTACCTGATGGGCCTCACTGACCAATTCATCCCTAAATTTAAGATAATAACCAATATTTCATTAAATAAATTTTATGTTCTGTTATAAAAAAAAAAAAGCAAAATCTTTTATAAAATCTCATAAGTCTGTGATGATGTTGTTCAATAATCTGGTGGAGGTATATATATCTGTCATCTTATCCTATAGGCTGGTTGATGTCTGGAATTCTTGTGGTCTTTAAAGCCACTTCCATATCTTCCTTCTGAAGAGCTCTGATATCCCTTGTTGTCTCTGCCAATAGCAATAGGATTACCAATGTATCTGTCTACTCTCAGCATATGCATGTTCTGGGCATAGCCATAGCCTATATGGGATGGTTAACTCACACTGGATGCCAAATTGATTTCCAAATTTTGATTTTGCCTTCAAAATAAACAAAGAAAGAGTTAATTCAGAAAATAAAACACTTTAAAGAGATGTTTTCTTTACAAAATCTAATTTTGTGCATTACACTGTAACCAACCTGACACAATTATACACTAATAGTATGCTTGTTTATTTCTTTGCAGATCAATCAAATGAACTTTTTTTCCAAATATTATCACTACTGTAACAAATAGTACCAGTAAACCAGACACTGTCATTAATAAAATTCAGAAAAAAACCAGTTCTCCAGGACTGTTTCATCATGACACACTCAAACATTAAATTACTGCTAAAAGAGTGAATAATAATAATAATAATAAAATTGACCCAATAAGGCTTCCATATTTCTTTCGTATGCTGAAATTGCCTTGAGATGAATGAATCTCAAAGCTTCTGGATGATGTTAAGGGGCCAAATAAAAGACTTACTGATTAAAAGAAAAAAACTTAAATATGGCTTTTGTGAAGAAAATTTCAATTATTAAAAGAATTAACATCTCTGCTTCAAAACTTACCTTTTTCTTTTGCTTAGATTTCCAATGCAGGACATGTCTTTTTGCTGCAACCACTATTAGAGTCACAGCAATAAACGATATGCTCCCTAACATGTCTCCTAAGACAATTGCTGTCTGGCTGCTGGCATCTGACTCTGATGGTGCCTCAATTGTACTACCAGTATCAACCATTTGGTCACATGCTAAAAAGGAACATACTTTATGTTATTTACAGTATAATTGAAAGGTACCATTTTAAATATAATAATAATACAAACTGTATTACAATCAAAAGCAGAGAAGTATTTTACTTGAGACTTCCATTGTTAATAAATTTTACAATTGAGCTAGAGGCTGATTCTTACATTAATAACTAAAGGAAATTAAGCCTGGTTCAAGGCCACATCTATTTGAAGGCCTTTTTAAATAATACAAAAATCACACTGCATAGTTCCCGTGCCTTTATTCAATGAAAATTTGCGGAACTTTTATTGGATTAAATGTAAAACAAAATTGTAAAACAAAAGGGAAATTTTTCAATGTTAAGTAATGTGGTAGTTATGATTTTACTTTAAAGGATGGGATTTTAGAAAAACTTACCATTAGGGCATTTTAAGTAGAAATTTCTGTATCTTCTTTAAGGGCACTTGGGAAATGAAGTTCTGTATATTAAATAAAGTCACAATCAGATGCATCAAGGGCTTATGAACAGTTAGTCATTACATACACTGAGCATTGTGTAGCATTGTTTTATGAGAGTGTGTTATTAGACATTTGAGCGTGCAGTCATTAAAAATTATTATGCTGTGGTGTTACGTTATCTAATATAGTAATGAAAACTGGCAGTTTAATGTCTTAGCAAATGACATTTTTTATTTGCATTTCAAAAGGAAAAGTAGTGTAAATGCTTTAATTTACTTTGTATAAAAGTTATTTTGATAATTGTGTTCAGACTGTAATAATTGGATATGATCAGAGTCTAAAATGGAAACGTACCATCTTTACCTGCTTTGAGTATCCTGTCTTCTCTTGTTGTGGCATGTATAGTCATTGGCAATTCACTTGATACGCCTTCCTCAGTTGTAATAAGAAAAAGAATTTTGGCAATTTCTTTTGTCATTGCTGTTTCTCCCTCTAGCTCTTGAATTAAAAGAAAATCCTCACTGTTGGAGGAGGAAACAGCAATGAATGTCATTTTTGCTCTAAGTCCATGCTTGGTTGTATCTGGAATGAACAGAGAAGGCATACCTAATCATAAATTGAAACAGTGTACAGTGTAGTTGTTAAACATTATATGAAACATCTAACTGTAGTGAAATTACAGGACTTGGGAGAGTCTTAACCTAGGTACAGTATATGTATTCTTGCTTTTGGGGATGAAAGCATGCATGTATGTTTTGTATTCAAGTTCTAAGTATGGAAGTGCAGTTTTAGAAGGGAAGTGACATGGATAAATGAAAACAGTGAGATGCGTTTGATATTTTTTGGCATCATTTTTGTCAGTTCAAACACTGGAAGTCGCTAAATTGCATGAAAATTGTAATGATGAGAACAATTTAAGTTGCACTGAGGGCAATTTTTTGTATGAAATTAACTTATGGGCCATTTTCTCAACATAAATTCATAGTAATGTGAAGTAGGTAATGACATCTTTTTATGGTTTAGTTTGACATAGTAATTATGAACGGGTGGATATACAGTGATATGGAATTGTTTTATTGAAATAACTTGTTTAACATATAGAGACTGTTTAGTATGAATTAACACAAAAAAATAACAGTTCTTTACCTCCACATCTCTGCAGTGACTGATGTGACATACCAGACTCTTTTCATACAAATTGGAACTGATCCTGCCTTTGAACTCAGCACAGCTGGCAACTTTAACCGGGGGTTATGGGTATCATGTCTGTTGCATCTTGTACCATAATGCTTGTCATTTCCCCTTGTGGGTTTCCCCTTGACCATTAAGTCCTTGGTAGTTTCTATCTGTAAAAAGGTAAGAAGAGAGTTCAACAAAAGAAGCTATCAATAAATAAAACATTAGCCTACAATACTATGCATTGGTTTTGAAATGGTATTGCAAAACAGTTATTTGCAGTTCCTTTTGAAGATCCATTGATAATCCTATACAGATGAATGCTAAGCATAAATATCTCAATATCACATCATGCTGATGAATTAGCATCAGTGACAAATTTTAAACTTAAGTTTAACAATTGTTTTGGTTTTGTTATAAAAACATTTGGGACAAATAATATTATTTCTGAATATGAATTCCCAATAACACTTATTTTTGTTTTCTTTTTTTCCTTTTTTCTGTTTAATTAATGGGACTGTCTAGTTTGCTGGAATATATATATATATATATATATATATATATATATATATATATATATATATATATATATATAGTACAATACGATGCATGCATCTACATTGGTATGCTTGATTTTACTTTTTTTAAGGAATTAGTGAATTTAAGTAATTGTTGCAATGTGTACCTGTGGAAATCGTCAAGTCTAAACAATAATAACAGCTGTGATGTAGATGTAGAGCAAATTTGTATTAAATAGCGAACAATGTTACTGGTATGTGATTAACCTTAATTTGAGTCATTTGTTGCAACTCCATTTAAATGTGGTAAACAACTGCACGGTACGAAATGTTCATCCATTGTGGCTGATTGAAGAGATGCAAGATGCTCTAAAGGAGGCAGTTTGGTTTTCATCATTAGATTTGTGTGGTGGATATTGAAAGAAGAAGACAAAGCAAAGATGGCATTCACAGTGGGACCACTTGGATTTTATGAATGTAATAGGATGGCCACAGGATTGACCAATAGTCCAGCAATGTTTCAGCATTTGATTGGAAAGTGTTACTGGCGATTTGGTTTTAAAAACCTGTATGAATTAACCTGATGATATTATAATTTTTTCAGGAGAATCCATTAATGAACAGATTGCTTGAGTCAGAGAAGTATTGTGTCGATTAAAAAAGGCAGGGGTGAAACTAAAGCCTTCAAAGTGTCATTTTTTACAGAAAGAAAAAAAATTTAGGGCATGTTGTTTCAAGTGCAGGTATTGAATGTGATTCAGAAAACATATTGTTTGTCAGAGTGCAAGACCCCTACTAACATTAAAGAGACAACATTTTTAGGTTTTGCTGAGTTTAACTGTAGATTTGTTAAGGACTTTGCAAAAATAGCAAAACCTCTCTATGCAGGGGCGGATTTTGGCCGTCTTCAGGGTCTTCCGGAAGACGGTCAGATTTTCAAGTTTACATTGACGGGTATTTAATTTTTTCTGTCGGAAGACGGTCAAAAATGGAGGATGGATCAACAAAGATAATTTGGAAGACCGTCAGAAAATATCTCTGGATCCGCCCCTGCTATGAGTTGACAAAAGATGAACAATGAAGGAAGGGAGCCACCTGTTGGGTATGGAAGGAGGAGCAGCAAAAAGCATTCGAAATGTTTGTAGAAAAACTTACTAATCCTCCCATTTTATGCTATCCTTTAACTAATGATGAAACAGGACATCAAGGTAGGAATTGTACACTTTCAATTGTAAAAGAACGTTTTTTTCTGGCCAGGAATGAATCACTTTGTAAGTGAGAAATTAAAAATGTGTACACAACATGACGGAACTGTCAGCATTGGAGGCAGGACAATCACTAACCTGCGGTTTGCCCATATGACACTGACGGGTGGCCGGGGAAGAACAGGAACTGGCCGACTTCGTAGCAAACCTAGACAAGACATCAGCAGCATTTGGTATGGAGATCAGTGCAGAAAAGACCAAACTGATGACAAACGGCAGTAATGGCATCAGCTCTGACATCAGAGTGAGAGGAGAGAAACTTGAAGTTGTCAATATTAAAGTTCAAGTATCTTGGGTCAGTCGTATCAGATGAAGGATCAAAACCAGAAATCCTGTCAAGAATAGCACAAACAACAGCAGCGATGAACAAACTGAAGATCATCTGGAATGACAGGAGCATTACACTCAACTCAAAAATCAGACTAATGGGCGCCCTGGTGATCTCGATATTCTTGTATGCATGCGAGTCATGGACACTGACAGTTGAGCTGGAAAAGAAGATAAAAGCTACAGAGATGAGATGCTTCAGAAAGATCCTTGGAATCACGGACAGAGACCACATCACCAATGAAGAGGTACAGAACAGAATCAAGCAAGCCATTGGCCCATATGAAGATCTTTTGTCCATTGCGAAAAAAAAAAAAGGAAACTGAAGTGGTACGGCCATATGTTTCACGATTATCAGGCTCGTCAAGACAATCCTGCAAGGCACAGTGGAAGGTGGCAGAAGGAGAGGCAGACAGAGGAAAAGATGGCGCTAGTGGACAGGCTTGCCACTCAATGAGGTTATGAGAAGGATGGATGATCGAGATGGATGGAGAGCACTGGTTGCCATGCAGTTCGTCTGTTGTGCCCCTACGGTCGTCAGACTATGGGACAGATAGATAGCTATGTAGATAGATAGACAACATAAATTGGTAAAAAGCCTGCACTTACCTGAGCGCACAACAATGGGGCATTTAGTTGCATCGCAACCGTGTTTATGGATTTCCTCAGCCTGGAAGAGTACAAAGGTAGAGTAAGTAACATACTTGTGCTCACAGGTGTTTTTACCCAATTCGCATGGGCTATCTATCTATCTATCTATCTATCTATCTATCTATATATATATATATATATATATATATATATATATGAAGAATCATGCAGTCAGCTTTAACAACTGCAAGAGTCCTATATTTGACAACTTCATGATTGCCAATAGATTTCCCTTGTGATAACACAGTGACAAGTGGATCATACTTTATAAATACCCCTCTTGCACAAATCTTTTTTTTTAAATTGACTATCTCTGTAAGCTGAAGTACACTGTACCCATGTTTGTTCAATGCTATATTATTCAAATCCATATTATTGGGAGTGAGAGCAAGTTGTACAGTCTTCAGGTATTAACTAATCAATAATACCCATATTGTGCTGTATGTTTACAAATGTAAAGAAGGTCAATAATTAACATTTTGATACTTAACTATTTTCTGTATTGCCTAGAGTTAAGTGTTTAGGCACATCGGTTAACTTTATGCCACATTGTTCTCTGAAATTTAAAAGTATGCAGAAAAAATAATATATAACAAACAAACAGTGTTAATGTTAAGCTATTTTAATGCACAGCAGTCTGTGTCACAAACTTTCATCTCACTGGCCTCTAGGACCACCAGCTACTTATCAGGATTTACTGCCCCAAACAGAAATTTTCGATAAGACTGCACTCTACCCAATTTCATTAATATTTTATTACTATTAAAATAGTAGCAAAAGATTGTAGCACTTGATTTTGTCAATTTTTTTTTTCTTTTAAATTTAGAATCATAAGTACATTCCAGACAAATACTAATCAAAGATCTTTATTTTGGAAACTTCAAGGAAAAAAAAATACTGGTCCAAACAAAATTTAACCAGTCAAGTCAGTAGTTAGCATGGTTGACTGTTAATGTTATCTATTTCTTGAATATTTATTTATTCATTATACATGTATTAATACATACATTTTTTACTGTTATTAATATTTTTTAACATGATTGGACTTACAATATGTATGGATACACCCACAACAACAACAGAAGAGGTTGTTTTTCGAGTTCAAAATGGATCCTTTCTGCTGTGGGCACTTAGAATCTGCGTATTTAGTAGATGTAGGTGTTAGAACTTCGTTATCAGATGTTTGTTGCCACTTCCATCCTAGAAAACAGATTTATATAGTGTTATGTAGTGATAATATCTAATATACCGTTTATTAGATCTTAGTGTAGTGCATTGTGCATTGCAGTAGATAGGACGTGTTTGTGCTCAAAGAGAGGCTGTAAGGCGGGGTAGTTCCGGTTGGAGATGGACCATGCGGTTAATATATTAAAGCTGAGCTGCATTTTGTACTGAAAATTCTCTTTTGTTTCGCTTGACACTGGGCAATTTTGGAATATTACATGTGTGTTTGGATGTTCCCTGTCGCATGTGGACTGAAAACTTGACAATAATAAGCATTTTGTTGAATTACGTGATTATATATATACATATATATAAAAGTAATTTTGAGTGCAAAGTAATTATTTGGGTGTGCCTCTAATATTGATCATTTCATCACACATCACGATACTGGACTTAGTAAAATGTAGTAGAATAATTGAACTTAACTTAGTCAAAAAAATGTAGCATCATCAGTTAAGTTAATTTGTGTTAAATATAGTATCTTTTTAAGGTAAAATTTGTTTTAAAAAATATACTGACAGTCAACGAAAACGCATCATTTAATTATTTGTCAAATAATATATTTAGTTCCTATTAAGAAAATAACAGTTTTTGTGTGAAAAATGACACATTATTCAGTCACACAAGGTGAAATAAAGGTTAGAAAAGATAATTAAAATGCAAGGTCAAGTGATCAAATCTCTTTGGTTCCGCCCAGCCTCCAGCATCCCCAAGGACCTGCAGTCGCTCTTCCAGTGTCAGACATGGCATCACTGAACTTTTTTTGTCTTGTGTCATACTGGACTTGGTGACTACCTTAAACAGGTTTAATTAATCACCATATGCTGAACCTGATTAATTCACACCAATCACGAGACGGAGGGGGGGGGGGGGGGAACGCATGCTTTTGTAACAGCTGATCACAAAATCACTGAAGTGGAAATTTCAAACACCTGAGTGGTCAGCCCTGACTGTCTTATGACCAAACAAGTGCATTTGTACTCGTTTATATGGCTGGAATCGATTCTCGGTGAAAAAGTACAAGAAACTTTTCTGATGCATTTTCATGGACTGTCAGTATATTAAAATAACGTACTGTTTTATAGTTTTTCTTGCTCTGGTTTGGTTGCAGGTTGGACAGTGGTGAATGGGCTTTGCTGACATGTTTCCGAAGGATGAATTCCAGATGGGGGTGAGAATAAGGTCCATTTCCTCACCCCAGCAGTTGAGGATGTTGTTTTTAGGATTTAGGACCAAAAATATGTTGTTTGTGATTTTAAGCCAAGGAAGGCGTTTGTGAGGCCAGGACTTTGTGGTGTGTAGCATATGGTAGATTTGCTGGAGGGATGATGCAATGAGGTCTGATAATGAAAACGAGGTTTTGAAATGAAGATGATTCAATGGCAGATATGACTATGCAACCGGGGATGAAATCCATGGGACATGTTAATGAGTTTAATGCCATGAGATGTTCTTCCCTGCCAAGGGCATGCTAGCTTTTCAATGCCTTTGAGTTCTGTGAAGTGAAGAGTGTTTAGTGGTAAGTTTGTGTTATTTTTTAATTTGTCTGCTAGCTTGTCTGGGTTTGTGTGTATTTTGGTAGTGATAACAGTGTTTTGGTTGTATGATTGTTTGGTTTCTTGTTGTGTTTGTTTGATATTGTTTTGAGCTGGAAATGGCAAGATGCTGATGAAATTGATATGTATTTGTAGGTCATGGTGGAAGTTTTGTGAGTAGTAATAAGGGCTTTTGGATAGTGATAAGGAAAGATCATCTGTGGAACAATCACTTTCTCTTTTTTTTGGCAGTAATTGCAGATTAAAGGTGTTTGAGAGGTCTTCTATTCTTCTGTTTATGTTCTTTTGGCATGAAGGACATTGGTTGGGCATGCAGGCTATATGAAATGAGTGTCGATCCACACATTAGTGTTTTGAATGCTGCATTTTCACTGGCTAGACATTCACATCTGAAAAAGGAGGAAATATTTCACTGCATGACAGCATCATAAATTTCAAACAAGTGCTAAATGCAATATGTCAGTTAATTAAATATTAATATTATCATTTTGCTCAAACGATTAGCCCACTTTCAGGATACTAGATTAAAAGCTGGGAAAGCAACTCTTGATATTTTCTTTTCCCAGTAACGGACACATTTCTGTAGTATTTAAAGTGTATTAAAATACAGTGCTTAATCTGGAATCATAAGAAAATGCTATTAACTATTGAAACTTATGTGATTCTGATTTTTGTTTATGGCACAGCCAAAAGCACTTCAAATTGCATTTTTTTAAAATATATGTTACTAATTGTCAATTTACCTGACATGTATTTGGCATGCCAACTCCAAAGTCATAAAAAGAAAATCCAAGAGGCATATGTTCCTCATGTCAATGTCAATTTGTATCCCTGGTAAGTGGTACTTTGGAAGTTCCCTTGGCTTTCTTTCACTCTGTAAATTAATGTTAAATTGAAATTACATGTTTATGAGATTGTCATTCACCCTGTTCACACACACAATTTTGAATCGCAATGCATTGGGGCCTAATCTTGATTCTATCCGTGTAAAGCCTTTAGTATGAACACAATAGCATCATAATATTGTGATTCAAATTAATCCACCTTGTGAGTAGGATTCTATTAATGTTAACTTTTAACTGCAATAATTTCTAGTGGAAACATATTTGATGTTTGCCACAGATGTTGATGGCATGTACAGTTTCTTACATGTTCAGTTGAAACTAAAAGTTTCTAAAGGTTTCTAAACTTTCTCAGGTGGTGGCATATCTACCTACAAATAAAAGACAGATGCAATGTTTTAAAGAAGTAGAATTTATTATGATCCAAAAAATCATGTAATGTTTATTGAAAACTAATAATATTTGCCAATTTAAAAGATACCATACTTCAAACTCCACCACTCAAGCTACTTTTATTCAACTCTTTTGAACTTAATTTACCTGGTTGGCCTGGCCGATGTGATCTGCTATTGCAGGGAATGACTTGACTAAGAATAGAGCAGTTTTGTTTGTGATCAAAGTAAGGTCTTAAGATGGGGATGAAGATGATGGTTGGTTGGTGAAGTTTTTTGAAAATGAATCGATGTTTGTTGCTGAAAGTTCTTTAGCCCTTTGTGAAATTTGCTGATGGGTGGAATGTGGTTGAATGTGACACAGAAGAACACAGTGAAAAGAGTTCCACTAGTTTCTCAGTAATAATGCCGAGTTGAGAATTTTTTATCTGCTCAAAGACTGGTAGACTTTGATGATGAATTTCATCACTAATGCTTGCCGAAGTAGCTTTTTTGTAATGTCTGTGGTGAAGTATAGTGAAGATGATGGCAATGAGAGATGTGATGAGTCGAAAATTGATGAGGTCTCCAGTACGATACAAGCCAAGGTATGCTGCAATAATTACAAGACTGATGCAAAAGGGCTTTGTTTTTTTTTTTTTTTTTGGGCAAGAATCCGCCCAAAAATTTCACAGATTGGCAAAGAAAGCGTGATTTGTGATAACAATATCGTCGCGTGATTTGTGATAACAATATCGTCAATGAGATTTAGGAAGACATGAAATGGGCTTTGAAGAGGTACAATGTTGATCTGTGTTGGGCAACATAGCCTTTTTATGTAGTAAAGATCTGGAGGAAAACTGCATTCTTGTTGATGTAGTTTAACACCTTGTCACTTAGAAATATCTTCCTGGAGTCCTTTTCATAATATTCCAAGCTATGATGGGGCTGATGAACTCCATCGATCAGCAAAGTTGTGTTCAGCTTGTGCAGTTCTTCAAGTTATACCTCATTGTAATCTCTGAAAAATAAGAATCTTGTAAATTGTTTTAGAAATAAGTGTTAAATGCACAAAATATTTTAATTTCAGTGCAAGATAAGAGGATTACACAGGGATGCAATTTTTCCTAAAATTCCCTTTTTATATACAGGTACTGTTAGTGTTTGTACATATTCTGATTGGTCTGTCTGTCTGTGTCGTCACTGTAGCTGTCCAACACATGACATTTGCCACATAATTTCCAAACCATATTTTTGTTTTACTTTAAGTTTACTGAGTAGTTCTGTTTGCTAAAGAGGCAAGTTGCTTTTGAAACTCAGCATGATCAGCATACATTTATGGTAATTATTGTTTGTTTTTTTTTTGTGTGTGTGTATGTGTGTGTGTGTGTGTGTGTGTGCGAAATTTGCATTTTTCACACAGCATTTTCAGTGGCTTTTTATATCCCATGGAATCAAATCACATAAAGGTTTTTCAGTGTCCATGTTACCTTTAGTGCATATATAATGTAAGAGGGTAAGAGTGATTATGTTGATATTTAAAGTATTATGTAACAGTGTATTAAAATTAGACGAAACATTATTTGGTTCACTTATTTCTGCGTAATGTCTGAATGTTTGACAGCTTTGCTGCCTTGTTTCTCATAGAGTGTCTGTATATTTGCCAGCTTTGCTGTCTCGTTTTCTTTAAACTTTGTTTTTTAACTTTTCTGGGATAATAACACAATATCATCAATTTTCAGTCCCCCCCCCCCCCCCCCCCATCCCCCCCAAGCCCCAGCCCACACTAACACACAAATTGCATCCCTGATTACAGGTCCTTCCATGAAACCAATGGTATATCATTCAATTCATACTAACCTAGAAATGCTATATAACTGTGGTGCTATATTTTAAGATTTTTTTTTTTGTGAAATACCAGTACTTACTGAAATACCAGTACTTTCTCATGTATGTATGTCAAGTAATACACTGCCACCTTCTAGGGATATTATGCCTTGAACACCTCTCACTTATGTGCCAGGTGTCCTGGCATATTCCCCTTGGTATTGGGTGACAGTGTATTATCTCACACTTGCAGAGACATTACCACAACGAAAGAAGAACTATTAAAATTGGTGGAAAGAGCACAATGGAGGAAAATAGACAAG